ATCAAGATAAGTCACTTGACATCCATGACTATTATATTACTAGTGTAAACAATGGTGGTTTAATTTAGAGTCAGACAATAAATGTCCTATAATTCAGGAGCCTCAGAGGTCATGATTTACAAAGGTCACGAAATCTGCTAATGCTCAGAAATTTAACAAAACCCCCGAGGATGTCCACTGATCAGATTACAAGGATAGGAATATTACTGTAATTGGTAAGACAAACGCTCCTTTTTGTCAACAACTAATCATATGACTTCACTGGTCTCTAGCTTCAGTGGTCTTGATGGATGAGAACATGATAATATAAATAAGCAATGACAGCCTAACAGAGAGGGTTAGCAGAGAGTCATGAATTCTTTATCTGACTTCTGTAGCTTATTCACATGTAACCACATGTTTTATCTCATCATACTTTGCAAGTCAGAATTTAGATTATCCTGATATTGTGGAATTTTGCATTTTGGAGAAGACTATTTTCTCATACTGTTACATAAAATTATGACTCTTGTGGGTTAATAAATATAATACTTAGTTCTTCCTGTGGTTCTCAGAAGATAATCTCAAAGTGATTTAAAAAGGAGGTCAATACCACTAATTCCATTTTAAAAATGCAGAAACTGAGACAAAGAGATGGGGAATGACTTGCCCACGGTTACCCAGCAAACTAGTGGCAAACCTAGGACAAAAGCCCAGGTCTCCCAAGACCCAGTCTAGTTAATTCACTAGGCTACTCCTGAGTTAATAATTCTTCTCAACAATCAGATATGTATTATGTAAACAATGTGCCAGTTTGCACCACAGTTAATCAAGTATACTACTTGTAGAAGAAGATACTACTTAATGTAAGGAGAAGAGAATCTGGCCCAGAATTACTAGACCATGTTCATCTGTAGAATACAGCCAGACTTTAAAATTATGCCATCAATTAATTCACCCATCAGTCTCTCCCCATTAAACTGAAAAGAGTGTTTCCATTCATTTCAGTGGGATCCAGATTTGACCTGAAGAGTGAGGCTTAAGGATGTCAAAACCTGTTATGTGCTCAAATCAAAGCCCAAAAGTTCTTTGCTTGTCAGATGTGAAATCCTGAATTCTCCAGTGTCAGTTTGTCTGGGGATTTGGAGATAAAACTGTCATAACAAAGCAGATGCAGAATTAGTTTTGAAAGGCTAATCAACCCACTCCTCCGGCATTTTTATTCAGCTGTGCCTTACTTCACAAAAGTACAGTTTACTGCCAGATGTAAACATTGTAAGTAATGCAAAGTATTGTATTGTATATAATTATGGATTATGAATCTCATAATTGACTAAAAATGGTCTTTACCTGATAGGTAGGACCATAGAATCTTCATCACTGCACCATGAATCATGGGGAAAAGTTATAAAGATTTAGTTCATGCTGAGTATAGTAACTTTTTTAGGATTATTTCAGCTTTCTTCAACTGTTATACTGCTAATATTAATGTATTCCCAAATCTTGCAAAGCACTGGCCACTTCAACTACCACTGAAGCTCAGCACCTTCTAAGATTGAGCCAATGGTTTGCTAAAACTGCTCAGATTTTTATCTTGTTAAAACAATTGTCATGGACAACGGTAAACTTTGTTGTACTGTTGGATGAGTAAATAAGTTACTACCCACTTTTCTCCTCTCCTCTCTCTTCAGCCCCACTAATTTGAGTGGATAACACATTATTGGAGATTGAGAACTATTTTTTGATGATATCACTACTATTTATTGGTAGGAGATGGTCTCTTTCTGAAGATATCAAACTATAATGATCCTCTAAAGTAAACTAACAATGTTCACATTATTTATGTTATGCCTTTATGATATTTAAATGTTACAATTATACAGCAACTTTCATCCTAACAGATCTTCAAGTGTTTTTTAAAAAATGTGTAGGGATCAATCACTTCACTCATTAGGGATGTAAAACCACCTTTGGGATAGAGTATGAAAGCAGTTCAATTTACAGGAATGTTATTCTATAGATTAAGAATACAACATATAGCTGAGTCATCAGAGGAAATGTAGGCAATCAGTATGTAATTATTCAAATTGACTAACAGCTCTACTCTTCAAAAATGCCATGGTAATTTTAATGACAACAAAGTGGTCAGGAACTCAGTTTTAGACCACATCTGCAAGATGACAGCTCTGTCTGCCCAAAACAGTCTAATGTAGCATCATGAAGGGGCAGTGCTCAGTATCAATTTAAAGGAGTCGAGTACCATCTCTTAAATAATTAGCATCACTTCCCAAAGCATCCTTAGGTTTCCTTTAAGGTCTCATATCCAAAAATTACTTATCTTGTTAAGTCTGGTAAAGTCATACATGAAGGTGTTATGGCTGCAGGAACATAGGGACATTCATTAGTTGTTAAAATATTTACAACAGCTGCTTACAAGTAATTAATTATAAACGTTACTAAACTTGTGCACTAAACTCAAACACTGGCTTGACTACAGTTTTCAACCTGTAGTCCACGGACCATTGGAGGTCCACAGACTCAGTCCAACATTTCAAAAGGGGCCCACATGGCCATTTGAAATATTTTAAGGGACACAAACTTAGAAGTTTGAAAACTGCTGGCTTATTACAATAATAACTCATGTGTTAAATGATCATTAAGCAAAATAAAAAAAACTGTAAGGATTTCAATAGTGAACCCTAATTATACACTTACATTATTTCTGTTGTTTTAAATAAGTTTTATAATAGCTAACACCACAGTCCTCTGTAATTGTTCATGAGAAAATGTCTGACATGAGCATGACATCCTTAGTTTAACCTTTGAAAGAATGTAATGTCACATCTGAGGAGGAGATATACAAATTAGCTCATTACTGCTCTCATAAAAATGGAATGTTATATTTAAGCAATTTAGGAGTGAGATGGGTAATCTTTGCTTTCAATACAAGAAGCGTTATCTGAAAGCTCAATTAATTACTTTTAAACAAATCTATAAACTCATTTAATGCTACAAACACATACAAGCTTCTTATAGAATCATTTCCAAAGAATCACCAAAGGTAACAACAGGAGACTGAACAAAAGGTAGTAAAGCCCTTTGAATTATGTACAATTTTTTTAAGTTTGTGTATTTGGATAATAAATCCATCGAAGGGAAGCACATAGGATGTCAGTTAAAAAAAATATCACCCACAAAAAACACTTCAATCTAAAGAAAATGCCCATCTAGTACTTATTTACCTTGTCAAGCTGGCTACAACTGATAGCTTGCTGTGGGAAGCTAATTCCACAACCTTCCAGTCTAGGAAGCAGTACTCCTGAATAAGCTTTAGAGATACCATAAAGAGTATAATATACTACAATGTATCTAACCTAAAAATCAGGAAGCAAAGGATAAAGGTAAAATGAAACCCTGGCAGCGAGGAATCTGCATGATTCTGTATAATGGGGAAAACAACCTTGTAAGAAATTTCTTCTTGCTGTGAAAAATGATAATCTGTTTTGCAGGATTTGTGTATGAGACCTAGCATCTTGAAAGAACCAAAAGAAATTTAACAATATAATTACCACAGCAATGAAATATAGCTACATAAGATAGGGGACAACAGCTTGTCAAATAACCATTACCAGCGCATATGAAAGTTTCTAAGGCTATGTCTACACAATTTGTGTATCTTTTTCATCCTTTTTCCCTGAAAGAGGCTTTTCTGAAATTTGGCCTGTTTATACGGCCATCGACGGAGCCATGTAGATTTGTTGTTTTGGCAAAGTCAAATGAAGCCGCGATTTAAATGATCGCGGCTTCATTTAAATTTACATGGCTGCCGCTCTGAGCCGACAAACAGCTGATCAGCTGTTTGTCTCCTCAGGGCGCTAGTCTGGACGCTCCAAATGAAGCCGCGATTATTTAAATCGCAGCTTCATTTCCCTGTGCCTATCTGTCTAATCTACATGCCTCCATCGACAGAGGCATGTAGTCTAGACACGCGGACAAACAGCTGATCAGCTGTTTGTCGGCTCAGCGCGGCAGCCATGTAAATTTAAATGAAGCCGCGATCATTTAAATCGCGGCTTCATTTGACTTTGCCTATGTGTCTAATCTACATGCCTCTGATGACAGAGGCATGTAGTCTAGACACAGCCACTGAGAGCAATACAGGGATCCCAAAAGAACACATCCGCTTTTTCGGAAACTATTCCAAAAAACAGACGTGGTCCTTGGCTGCAGCAGAGCTTTTCCGGAATACCTCTGGTATTCTGGAAAAGCTCTTCAGTCTAGACATAGCTTAAATTCACATCTGAAAGATCACAAGGGACCTTTTCAGAGAGCAACAGGTGCTATAGCCTCCTACTCTGTGGGCTAGATTTATTGGTACACTATCTACTTTTGCATCAGTTTGCTGATGCAAAATAGCTATGACTTTGGTTGAGTTAAGCCAGGTTTACAGCTGCTTTATGTTACCAGAGTGAAATAAAACCTATGTAGCACAAGTCTCATGCAAACCCTACTTTGAAGTCGGCCCCTTGAATAGGGATGATATTCACCCCAGCTCTTGCCAAGATATTTGGCTTCATGCTTCCCTCAAAAAGAAGGCAAATAGGTTTCTGTAGCATGTGATTTCACATCGTTTTTAGTCACTTAATCTGAATCTGTGGAACTGCAACCAAAGCGCAGAAATGTATGTGTATTTTCTGATAAGCACCATTTTGTTTTAGAAACAGTTGAAATACCTTCAAATGTGTACACTTTCTCCAGGTTTTAAAACTGATGATAGAAATTCCATAATCAGAACATGGCACAAACCAATCCAGGGTAAAGGGATACATTTTTCATAAGAGCCCTTTGAAGTGTTCTTATAGTTACGTCTTCATAATCCAGACAGGAGCAGATCTGCACTCTTGACAATTCTGAATTTATGCACTTCAGCTGGCTCTAGATAAAAGGTAACTCTTTCCGTTTTCATTCCGAGGATGTTCTGATTTCTTTCATTAGAAAAGAGACACAGTACAGAATGTTACCTTCACATGATTTTCCATCTTCCCCCAGTTTCTGGCCAGCTGCACAGCGGCAGTAATAGCTGCCAATAGTATTGCAGCATTGATCCTGACTTCCACCATTCTCAGTGGTACATTCATTTACATCTGTAGTGGGAGACAGCATATACAAATTAGACACGGACTACAAAGTAAGCATTGACTTACATTTTCTTCCTTCAGTAACACAGTGAATCTTTCTGATTTTTACCAGGTGAAGAAGCAACTAAGAACAGCTCCTTATAGCCTCCTGAAATAGGATGTGCCCCTTTGCTACTTGTGTCTTGCATTCGATATTCAGGAATTCAGAGAATAGTGTGTGTCTTCTTGTGTATTTGTGCACAGTGCCTAGCAAGGAGGCACTGACCTTGACTGACTTGACTTACTACAATATTAATGTTGTCAGAAATGTAATTTCCTGCAATATCTTTGGGAGAGCTGACTCTATTAAAATTATATATCAATGTGGGCCAGGGACTGTATGTAATTCCATGGGAGAACTGGACCATAGCTTTGGGATTCTCTCAGAGACCTCTTTCCACTTGGCTTCCAAAAAATTCAATTTGACTGCAGCTTGTGTCACTAAAAGTGGCATAAAGCAGTGCTCCAACAAAAACACAGCAGAGAGGGGTACAGGGAACATCACAGCTCCAAAGTTCCACAGAAACACTCTGACTTTATATACATTACACATCTCTCTGCATTTACTATACATAGCACCACATTTTTGGGGGGATTGGCTTGGTTATTTTGCAGAAAACAATCCCTGTGCAGCATGTGCTGTCCATGGTTCAACTTTTACTTTATCTCTGTTAACTTGTTTTGGTCCTTGTTATCTAGTTCAGAATAAACAGTTCCCTGAGTATTCTCCCTCTTATTTTTGTTGGCTCAGACATTCTGCCTTTTTCAATCTACTGACCTATTTACTTATCTTATTTAGCACAAATGATGAGTAATTTAACTACCTATTTGTATCTTCCAAGAACTGAAGCATCCTTGTGTTAATTACTCGTGTCATGCTAGACACCTCAGCTACATACAGCAGCTCCAGGAACCAAGGACGGTGGGGGTGAGTAGGCAAATTTACTCAAACTCCAGAGAAGTACCACTACCTGCAAGAGGTTTGCATACAGTGGCACAAACTGGATACTCCAGAGACCAACAGACCAAGAAAAGACTTTTTGCATGAACAGCCAGAGTCTAAACTGGATTCTTTCAGGTTCACAAACAGATAGGACCTTTCATACAAGGAAAATCCCAGGGAAGGGTTGGAAGAACATTGACCTAATGATGCCCCATAAGACTGATAGGTGACCTCCAATATGCTTTTAGAAAGAATATATTGTTCATCTTAAGTGACTGCTGGCAATTACAGATGCTCCCTAAATTCTAAGATAAGTAACATGCAGACACTGGCCAGTTTAGGCAGGTTGACTTGCAGAGGTTATCACAGCATAAGGAGGAAAAACCCTGTAGGGAAGGGTAAGGAAAGGGGAAGAGGGAGGGAAAGTGAACAGAAGGGAGAGAGAGAGAGAGATGAGTCTCTACCCCAGAGGGGTGACTACCATGGAACCAGGAGCACAGAGTAGGTGCCCGTGAGGGACCATAATGGATGACAGAGGTGCAGTTGCCCTGGATTGCGACAATCAATCATTATTGGCACTGACTTCCCATTCAATACTGAAGAGTTTAGGAGGGCTCTTCCCAACCCATTTATTCATACAAGGGAATGGTAATAGAAAGCTACTCACGGGTGTTGAAAGGGTTGGTTCATGGAGGTTTTTTTTAATGGAAAAGTTGTATAATATTCTGCGGGAATAGCAAACTGGATGAAAAGCAGCACATCTAGATTTGGGTCACTGCCACATCTCTTAGGCTGTGTCTACACTGGCATGAATTTCCGGAACTGCTTAAAATGGAATACTATTCCGTTTTCAGTTTTTCTGGAAAAGGACCATCTGCATTTGCAGGCTGCTTTTCCGGAAAAGCCCTTTTTCCGGAAAAGCGTCTGTGGCCAATGTAGACGCGCTTTTCCGGAAAAGAGCCCCGATCGCCATTTTCGCGATTGGGGCTTTTTTCCGGAAAAGACTACTGGGCTGTCTACACTGGCCCTTTTCCGGAACAGTGTTCCGGAATAAGGACTTATGCCCGAGCAGGAGCAGAATAGTTTTTCCGGAATAGCGGCTGATTTTGTACAGTAGAGCGTCGGTGCTTTTCCGGAAATTCAAGGGCCAGTGTAGACAGCTCGCTGCTTATTCCGGAAAAGCGGCTGATTTTCCGGAATAAGTGGCCCAGTGTAGACACAGCCTCTTAGTTTACAAGGGATTTTCGGGTGAAGTTTTCCATCTTATTTCTACCAGATCTGAAATATTAATATTATCTAGAATACCATATAACAACATTTTTATTTATCCCTGGTTAAGTACGGACAAAAAAAATCTGCATGAAGAGGTTTTTGTTTGTTTTTTAATTTGGTAACAAAAGTCTTGAACAGGCTTCTCAGCATGTAACTAAGTAGAAACCCAGGGTTATGGAACACAGTGGGCTTTCAGTACCGGGGAGGGTGACAGTTTTGCAAGCTACAGTGGTTTGGGAATTAGAAGTAGCTGTTCATTATTTTCAGATTAGAGAGTAAGAGATGCAGGAACACAAGATGAATGGCAGAAAGACTGGTAAAAACAGAGAGGCATAATGCTAACTGCAAAAGTATATGAAAATGACTTTAATTTTAGAAACCTGCAGCATTTCTGAGGGAAAATAACCTTCCTTTAAAAACTCTATTAGTGTTTGATCAACAGAAATACACAGGACTTCAAAGAAGATAAAAAAAGAAGGGAATTTTACATATACACATAAAAGAGCTGTTATAACCTGTCACGAACTTGAACCTTGGGCTAGGATCATTTTAAGTTTTACCAAAGTCTGTTTATCCTTTCATGAATTTAAGATGAAATCTCTGGCTTATAGCTTTTGGTAGAAACCACCTAGCCACACTAAACCTGGCTACCATTGATAATTCTGAATAAATTTTTCTTAAAAAAAGTTTTCTGAAAACATAATGACAAAATGAAACTAAGTCCTGGTCTACACTAGGGAGTTATTTAGAAATAACTCTCCTTATTTTGAAATAACTATCAGCGTGTCCATGCTACCAGGCCTGTTTTTTTAAATAGAAGGACGGTTATTTTGAAATAATAATTCCTGCTTTCTATTAGGAATAATAGTTATTTTAAATTAGTTATTTCAAAATAGAGTTAGTGTGGATGCTCCACTGCTGCTATTTTAAAATAACTACTCCCCAGAGTCATTCAAAGTAATTACTTCCCAGTGCTTCCTGCGACTCTAAGTTAAGGTAGTGTATCCACGTTAAGGGCATGTCTACACTAGGAAATAATTTTGAAATAACTAAATTCAAAATAACTCTCAAACTAACTATTTCAAGTTTATTTCCCAAGGAAATCAGGAGTTGTCATTTTGAAATAACCAGCCCCTTATTTTGAAATAATGGTCTTGGTAATGTGGATGCTAGGGACATAAGCGAGTACTTGACTAAGTAGTTGAGTGAAGCACTCAACTACTTGCTTCTCCCCTGCTTGCTGCCTCTGTATTTAACCGTATCTGACACCTGTGCCAGCTCCAACTCAGCTGAGGCTACCTCCCACCTGGTTGGCTCCCACTGGCTGGCTGCAGTTCCCAGCCCTAGGTGTGCAGGTGAATCTCTCCTGACCCGTGCAGGTGGGTGAGAGAAGAAAAGGAGCGAGCAATTGGCAGGAGGGAGAAGAAGAGTGGAAGTGGCAGGGACTCAGGCAGGGGAAGAGTCAGGGCAGAGGTGGCATCTCAGGTGGAAGAGGCAGGGCAAGGACGGTTCTTGCACTTCCAATTTGTAAACATAGCACCCCTCCTACTGACCCACATGCTAACCTTCTTTTACGGTCTCCAATTCTGTTTACATTATGGCTACATCTAGACTGGCATGATTTTGCGCAAATGCTTTTAACGAAAAAGTTTTCCATTAAAAGCATTTGCGGAAAAGAGCATCTAGATTGGCACAGACGCTTTTCCGCAAAAGCGCTTTTGTGCAAAAGCAGCCATGGCCAATCTAGACGCACTTTTGTGCAAAAAAGCCCCAATCTCCATTTTCGCGATCGGGGCTTTTTTACACAAAACAAATCTGGGCTGTCTACACTGGCCTTTTCCCCGAACAGGAGCAGCATAGTATTTCCGCAAGAAGCACTGATTTCTTACATGAGATCGTCAGTGTTCTTGCGGAAATTCAAGTGGCCAGTGTAGACAGTTGGCAAGTTTTTCCACAAAAGCACGCGCTTTTGCGGAAAAACTTGCCAGTCTAGACACAGCCACTGAGTACTGAAGACTGGATACTGGTCACCATCAAAATGTGATGATTTATCAAAAATTATTTGAGGCACTACTTTATTTTCTCATATCTCTCTTAGGATGGGCAATATTATACCACCTTCTTGAGCATTAAATATTGACAGACTGATGAACACTGCGCTATATAGTCTTATTTTTGTCTGTGTTTTGAAACAAAAACTTGCTAAATGTTCTGACTAAAAAATTAACGTTTACCATCTTGATATTATCTAAGAGTAGTTCCAAAAATATGCTTTGAATGCCAAAGTACTTAAGCACACACTGTCTTTCCTTTTGATTGCAAAGCACTTCCATTAGGAACATAACTACATTTATTTCTTGTTCATCATGAGGAAACTGTCGTTTACAGTATTGTTAACACCTTTTTAAGAGTATTTGTAATGTGTCATTACAACCTCTTCCTCCTCCTCCTCTCCTACTTGCTCTGTATGCACCACCCACGATTCCCTTCATCTCTGTCCTAACATTTGCATATGTGCCATGTCTTCTTCCCAGTTCTCTCTTACACCAGGAAACTACTCCTCCTGCTGTGCCAAGAAGCCTACTCTATTTCCCCTTAAAACATACTGTTCCTCTGAAGTGTATGAGCATTAAGCCAGCACACAAAGTAGAGATGTTTTAATAAAAGAAAACACAATGAGCTATAATCTTTCCCTCCCTCCTCCGTGCATAATGCATCTAGGGCTAGGTCCTCAATGGGTGTAAATTGCCAT